CCTAATGGTGGAGGAGGCAACCAGAGGCACAAGAGAAGCGGAGACAAAGAAGTGATCTATCCTAGCATAACTATGATGTGCTGAGGAAAAATGCGTGTAGTCTTTCACCACAGGGTTCATTTCCCTCCATATGTCTATTAGAGAATGAGAATACAGAAATTTTGTGAGGCGCGAACCAGCTTTCTGGGGATGTCTAGGTCTATATCCTCCAGTATAATACCTATCCAAATTACTGTCCAGGGCAAGATTAGAATCTCCTGCACAGATCACTTCGCCTTCAAAATTAGGTAGTAAGGTTTTTAGCATAGAAGTGAAAAACGAAACCTGGGCCGAGTTGGGGGCATAATAGGACAAGGGTGTAACTAAGGTGTCGTTTAAATATCCTTTCAATAATAAATATCGTCCCTCGGGGTCTCCTATCTCCAGCAACAAGCGAAATGAGACATTTTTAGCAAGGCAAATGGCAACCCCTCTAGTCTTGTCAGAGGCATTGCTCAGGAAAAACTGAGGATAGTATTTGTTGAGAAAGGCAGGTTGATAAGATATCGGGAAATTAGTTTCCTGAAGGAAGAGAAGGTCCACTCGCTGAGAGTGGTAATATTGAAATGCCATTTTTCTCTTCGCTGGAGAGTTTAGACCAAGAACATTGTGGGAAGCAAATATCAATGGTCTATGTGTAGTCATCATAACCCCAGTTTAAGGTCAAAGCACAAAATAAGGCAGCACAGGTATAGCTCACCACTCCCCAAGATGAGCAGGTTTCCAGATGTTGGACCATAGCAGAATATAGGGTGAACCACCCTTGCGGATCAAAGAATAAACTAAGAAAGAAGGAAGAAAAGACAAAGAGGACCAACAAAACAATACAAAAATATAAATAAAGAACACCAACAGAAAAAAACCAAAACCAAAAAAAAAAAACCTATACAAACAATTATCCCCTTTAGGCTTATCAGAAAAAATTCCCGACCCTTGTACCTCAGCAACCCCCTTAGGAGGGTACCTGCTGGGGTTCATTGCCTATAGCGGGGATATGTGATGGCCTTTCCAAAGACCAACCCAGGAGAGAAAGCAACTCATTAATATATTTAAAAAGAAGACAAAAAAGGATAAGAAAGCAAAAGATAAGGGAAGAGAGAGGGGAGAAGATCAGGAGAGAGAGAGAAAGAAAGAGAGAGAGATATAAAAAAAAAACAAAAAAAAACGCACAAACAAAAAAAGACGCACACAAGAAAAATAGTCATTTTTTCCCCCTTTTTTCTTTTTTCCCCTTCCCAATAAACCCCAACACTATCCCCCTTCTCACTGATACTGCATACTTCCCCTTAATGTGTCTTTCTATGTGTTCTTCAGTGCACTACTCAATTTTTAATCCCCACCCCCATTTCAAGCATCAGTTGTTATTATTAATAGTATTATTATTATTGTTGTCAATTATCACCATCATTATTAAAATCACGCAAGTATTCATCCCAAAACTATATTTCTCACATCCATTGGGACGGTTCCCACATATTTACATTTTCTCTAGTGCACAAAAAGCCTCCCTAGCACACCCTAAACCCTGGATAACTAATATATGCTCAAGCCTTGTGTAAACCTTTATGGACCCTCCGCCCCCCCTTCTATACTCTAATGTGGAGGACCCAAGGTCCCAAGCTTCAACTTCAATAGTGAAATTGAAGGTGTATCACTTAACAATTGTACCAGCTATAATTTAAATGTTTATGTATATGTATTACCCCATAACATAGACCATAGTGCAAATTACTAATCATAAATCCTTTCCCTTTCCGACCCCAGTGTTATATAATCTTAGTGATTGGACCCAACCCCAAACTCCCCCTCCCCCCCCAAAAAAGGGACAACATTACCTACATATATGCATATACAGATATATACATATATATATATATATACACACACGTATACTCTCTCTCATCCCATCTCCCCCCTCCCCCAACCCCCAGTCCACATCTCCCACTAACATCCCCTCTTAGGAGGGACCTTTGTCCATTGATCTTGATACCGTATCTTCGTGAGTGCACCTATTGGTGGATCGGGCCATTGTCCCAACTTTACCATCTCGATATCCAATCTTTTCACAAACGAGTCTAAATCCGCCGGGGTGCAAAACTCGATTTTTTTTTATCGTCCTTTTGTACCAATAAACAAAATGGGAAGCCCCATCTATATTTTATATTTTTTTCCCTTAGGATTTTGGTCAAAGGTCTCAGGGCCCTTCGTTTATCTAATGTACGCTTGGAGAGGTCAGGAAAAATTTCTATATTGGCTCCTTCATAATCCAGTGTCCCGTACTTCTGCGCTTTAAGCATTATTATCTCCTTCAAACTATAGAAGTGTATCCTACACAGCACATCTCTTGGGTAGATAGCATTCGACTTACGGATACCTGGAATCCTATGCAGCCTGTCTATCTCCATATCTTTGAGTTCCAATTTCCCCAACAGTTTGTTCAATATTTCCAGGACCACCATCTTGAGTTTTTCCCCCTCAACAACCTCTGGTATTCCGTTCCTCTGGTAATATTCCTGGATATTGTTCCGCCTACTGCGGTCTTCCAGGTCATCGCTCTGTGAACGTAGTAGCTACATAGTATCCTGTTGCTGTTGTAGAATCATTTGCATTTCTGGTATTATTGCAAAACACTGACCCACTGAGGACTCAATCCCCTCCATTCGACAGTTACTTATCTCCTGTAGTTTGTCTTACTGGCAGCCTTCTCCTCTCCCTCTCTTGTCCCCCACCACCTCCATTGCAGAGTCTTCTGTCTCTCCTATCAGTTTAGTTTCAGTTTCGTTGTTAATTCCTTGTTAGCTGGGGCTATGCAGGGCTGTCAGAGCTGATCCTCCTTCGTCTCTTATCTACTGATTAGCATTCTCCTGGGTTAGACGCCGGAGCTCTCAGCGTGCTCTCAAACGTGCATGTCTACCCACGGCCATCTTGGATTGGATTTACTGTTTTTATACATATTTCATCATATGCTTGGGTCAAATTGCCTAGATTTAAGCACTTCCTTTACAGCATATGATTTCCACATTTGCATGGAATGCTTCTTTAGACATTATGGGTAAGTACGTTACCCTTGTCCTATTCATGCAACCCATGAATACAACAGCTACAGCATGAAAAGCTGTATCTGCATAAGGGATCAGTCAGCAAACTGACATGTATATAGACAGTTGGTTGCTGAAAGTGGCTCTAACACTTATAGACTTAACCTAATTGTATAAATGGATCCAAAGAAACCTTTTATATTCTTTCCTGTGGTCTTTAAACATGTAAATTGGTCCTTTAGTTGTTAGATCCAGGAGAGCAATTAAAATTATTAACACGCTTATACAGATGGCTTGTTAATCTTCATAAAATGATTTCAAATGTAGCAGACATATGTTAGCGATGTTAAGTGGATAAGGGGACTGTTTCACAATCTTCATTTTCTCATCTGTAAGATTAAGAAGTCTTTCATGGTACTTTGTGCTTAATGGAGACGTTTAGCAACAGCTATTCCTTTGTTCTCCTTAAAAACTATTCTCGTATAAGGATTACTTTTACTTACATGTCCTAATAAACAAAACGAAGGGACAAAATCGGTTTTCCAAATGGTTGCACAAATCCATTCACCAATCAGGAACACTGTACAGCACTGTCTTCCTTTTCTAATTAAATCTGGAAAGATACAGTGAAACAGAGGGACAGATCCTCTCATATTTAGTAATGGGAGAACTTCTAAACTGTATTGGACTTTGACCTCAAACCTAATGATGTAACTTTGCACCTTTTACTGTAACTTCCCACTGAAAAAAAATCTCACAACACCTATGGTAATATATTACATGATCATCAGTTTTGCTGCTTAGTTCCAAAATTCCCCCAAGATTGTGGATTGAGTCTAGGGTGAATTCAGGGCCGTCTTTAATATTAAGTGGACCCTGGGCATGATTTTGCTGATGGGCCCCCACAACCCGCTCACCTCCATTACCTGCCCCCCACTTCCTGACCCAGACCCCCCGTATCCATCTACATCACCTTCCCCCAAAACTAACAACAATATATGTCTGTGTGTATAGCAGGGATGCCAACCTGAAGGAAGCAATTTCAGGGAGGTGCCCTCTGCCAGCAGTCAGCAGCCAGCAGCGTTCGATGCCATAAGGACCCAGGCAGCCCGCACGGCATCAGGGGGACCCCTTTGTTCCTCGTCCTTGCTGGGCCCCCCTGTGCCCCGGGCCCCATAGCTGCCTCCTGGGTCGCAATGGCGATAGTTCCACCACTGATTGGTACATTTGTTCTATACTACTTGATAAATCATGCAATACGATTTTTATTTAAATCTAATTGTATGACAGGCATCGGGGGAGGAGATCACAGCAGGAGACACACACACACAGTCACTTCACAGGCTGGCTGCTACTGAGAACGGATGTCCGTTCTGTCTCCCCACCTGCTCAAACGCACAGCCCATTTTCTGTTTGCCGCTGGGTGTGAAAGGGACAGCTGCTGTGGGCCCCTGTACGTTATGGGGCCCTGGGCAAGTGCCCCTTATGCCCTGCGGTAAAGACGGCCCTGGGTGAGTTAAATCAGTTACTGCCAAAATCAACAGAACTGCAACAATCATTTGTCTAAATGTACCCGAGTAGTTTTCTACACATGCTAATCGTGTTACTTTACATAGCAGACCTAGTGAGTATATTCCCAAATATCTTTGTAAAAGTACTCATTCCTGTTCAGAATTTGAGGTGCCTGAAACAGCAGTAAAGATTGCTTATTTCTTATTCTTCTGTGTTATCAGCCATTTTAAGCATATCTCAGTCAAGTCAATGCCATTTAGATGAGCATACATATTTTACCATAAGTGGTGCTTTTTACAACTAAAACATTGGTCTTCACCTGCCAACTAAAGATGCATATATAGTACTGAAGTTTTTCTGCTTCATTTGTTATATTAACAATGTAAAATAACTACATTTCCTTTCTCCTAGGATGAATCGTTTGGTTTATGCAGTGGGACCAATGTTCCTTCTCTTTGGGCTCTTAATACCTAATATTGAAGGGAATAAAAAGGTTCGTGGATCCCAAGGAGCCATTCCTCCACCAGACAAAGGGCAGGCAAATGACTCTGAACAGAGTCAGACACATCCAGGTAGTCGAAATGGAGGCAAAGGAAAAGGACAAACTCTATTGGCTGAAGAGGTGCTAGAATCCAGTCAGGAAGCTCTGCATGTTACTGAGAGAAAGTATCTGAAGAGGGACTGGTGCAAGACACAGCCACTCAAGCAAACTATTCATGAGGAGGGATGTAACAAACGTACTATCCTCAACCGATTCTGCTATGGGCAATGTAATTCTTTTTACATCCCGAGGCACATTCGCCGGGAGGAGGGATCCTTTCAATCCTGCTCTTTCTGTAAGCCTAAAAAATTCACCAATATGGTGGTCACACTCAACTGCCCGGAATTACAACCGCCCATAAAGAAAAAAAGAATTACACGTGTCAAGCAGTGTCGCTGTATCTCCATAGATCTGGACTAGATATGACCTGGTTTCTCCAACACTTGGGACAACACTGACTGTAAAAATGCTGTGGCCTGTATTTGTGGAGAATGTGTCGTTTTTATCAAACTATGGACATCTGTTTAAACAGCTGGTCTCAGTGCTACTTAAACCTGTTACTCTGCTATGGGAAATATCCTCCTTGCTACAGACTGAGAACTAAATACCCTTGTAATGCACAAAGTGCACCCTTATTTGGAGTATACAAGCCCCTTAGTGCAAATTGCCATGTATACATTGTGTATATATTATTTATTCACACTTACATGTTTGTGACGCACCTAAGAGGGCCAAAGGGACTGAACTGGTTTAATCTGTCAAAGATAGTTTCTGAATGAAGTACTGTATGGATAAACCAGTGACATTTTTTCAAATAAAACCATATATTGAGGCATAATTACATTACATCTAATAAAATTTGATGGTATTGCTTCATCTTTAAGCTAAAATATATCTTTATGACAATGCACGGAAACAGACATGGATGTATAATTAGATACTTTATAACTTCATAACATTACTGTACTCAAGAAGTGGCTTTTTGAAAAAAAAAACCAAAAAAAAAAAAGAATATGGCGGAATCAACTGACTTTAAATGTTTATTACCAATGTATTCTTGTACAAACATTTCAAATGTCCCAATTTTATGATCATGAAACATTTAACAAGAAATTTGCTACTGTTTTATTTGGATTTGGCTTTTAACCAAAGGTGAAATCTGGTATCATGGCTGACCCATGCTGTTATGATGAGTGGCGCTATATTGTCATTTCTGCTAAGGCAGTGGCCTAAAAGTTAAATAAAATACTTCTTATTTGATTACCCATTCACTTTTAACATCAATAGTTTTAGAACATTGGAAACAAATATTGGCTGTGTTTTGCTAAATGGATTTAATTATAATTTCATTGAACGTTTACCAAGGTAATTTGGACTGCAACGTAAAAACAGATGCAGTTGTTTAGGGCTAGTACACCAGATGAATGGGCTACCTTAATGTAACGCACATTAAAATTCATGTAATGTGCGTGCATTAAATGTACTGCAACTGGACTCTTAAACTCTGAAAAATGCATTAACAGGAGCCAAAGGCATGCAAGTCCCCAAGATCCCCGACATCTTTGTGCTGAAAGAAACAGATTTATTTTATTCTATTTTAGAGATGAGCTTAAAGATTTGATGGGTGGAGTAGGGAATCCCTGGCCTGTAGAATTGTAGACTTTGTTATAGGTGCTCAGAAAGCCCACCTCTGATTGTGTTTTAACGTTTGTCTTAGATGGGCCAGAGTGGCTACCAAGTAGCTGAGATCAGGTAAAATGAGTGCAAACTAAGTGGCTGCAAATACAGTGACACTAGCAATGTCTGATAATGATTTTTGCCTGGTTTGTAGACTGTTGCTCCTGATTGGTAGACGCAGATTGCTGCCTTTTCTTATCAGCTTGACCAAGCAACATGCCCAAGATGTCTGTACAGGCAACCAAAGCTCTAGTACCTGTTTAGTATTCTGAGTGATGTATGAAGAGTTCCTTTGCCTGAGCATTACACAGCAAAACATTTATACTACAATCTATAAAGTTAATCTGTTTTATGTGCTGTAATCCCAAAGCATTAGACTATGGTACTTGTAAGATTACATACCACTGTGTGTACCATAACCGTTGACTGTTAAAAGATCTACCAGTGTAGGCCAGATTTAGGCATCTCCTAAAGAAGATGAAGTTGTTTTATTGGCCTCTTCTCAAGCTCCCCACTCGGCCTGGCCAGATGTGTTCCCTTTGATCTGAACAACACGTCAGGGCTCAGACAATAAGATTGGTTTACAATTTATTGTGCCTTTGATTCTGGCACACTGATGAGTTTTAAATTTGTTACCCAGCGCGCTGGCCGCACGAGGAGGGACCACAGAGGGAAAAAATGCCTGAAGGCAACAGGCAAAGGTGTCTCCGATTTCATACTCTAACTCAAAGGACAAATCAAAAGCGAGACTGAGTAGGATTTCACATGACCGCTGCCTTTCAAACTGCAAATGTATTCAATGCTGGACATACAAAGGCAGGTGGACTATATCTATATATCTACCATGGAACTTACAGAATATAATTGCATGCCTCTAAACAATACAGCTCAAGAACATGGAACACATGATTTGGTACATGGAAGACACGATCACTTAAAAATTGCTTTTAAACCAAAATGTTTTGTATTTAATTGTGGCTAGAATATGAAAAGATTAAAACATCTGTCAAGCCTATATTGTTGTCTGGGTGGGAGATTCACCCTATTGGTCCTTCTCCATAGTCCCTGTGAGTGTTGTAAAGTAGCCACCACTCCAATCTCATGTTAAGTTTTACGGATGTACCGGACCAGACACCGAGTATTTGCTCCTATACCTTCCGATACTGGACCTTCCAGTCAGAGGAAGATTTCCTCTGACCGGCAGTGCTGCAGGGGAGTGCTGTAGCCAATCAGCATGGATCCGGCTTCCCAGCCAATCAGGATAGATTACTCGCCGCCCGGCTTCCTGATTGGCCGAGAAGCCGGCTTGATGCGGGTTTCCCGGCCAATCACAATCGAGCCGGCGCCGCCTGGCTTCTTGATCGCTCGGGAGGCCAGCTCCATGCTAGCGGAAGCACCGGTATTGACACTTAGTATCGGCGAGTACCGAAAGCAAAATATTGGTACTAGTACTTGGTATCTAAAAACTGGTATCGGTGCATCCCTTTTTAGTTTTATAATTTGTATTGACATTGTAGTCCATCACAGAAGTGAGCTTCGAGCGGTGGCTTCTTTACAACAAACACAGGGACCATGGGAAACAAAAGTAGCCACCCTCCAGAAGGAAGGACAAGGTCAGCATGAATTCAGAGATGATTTGAGGATCTACAGCTGAGTGATACACAAATAAGATACCATTCGTGTTAATAGTTAAGGTACTTGAATGCATTTTTAAGATTTAATTCCTTAGTTTAGTGTCACTTTAAGGAAAATCTGGAACGTGATGCATTCAGGAGAGAAGGATATAGGGTCCCTTTAATGACTTTGCCTTCTGAAAATGCTAGTGCCCTGGCTATTATGCTCATCTAATAGCTTTCTTGATTTATATGCTTGTTCCAGGTCAATGACTCCAGATTTAGAAGCCAACGACAGACAATTAACATTTTCAGAAGGGAAGCAATTGCAACCTCTGTCTCTGACTTCCTTTAAAAAACGTATTAAACTCCAGGCCAGAAATGCAGTATTTTGCAGCTTACAGGTCCTTAGATGTGGTGACTGCATTACTTTTTTTTTAGGCCAAGAACAATTTTAGGCAAGCACAGAAAATACACATTAATCTTGCCAAAAATGCAATGTCCTTGTCGCTTCCCGTGAGCTGAACTAAAATCCCAAACAATGTTATCTTCCTTCCAAACTCTCTTCTGTAAACTACAAATGTCCCCAACCTTCTTGTAATGGAGATTGAGTGTTAGACATGTTTGGGTAACAACTATGGCTCCCTTCCTATATACAATATAGCCACCCAGGGACAGGAAGCATGTAATTCACAGGATTACCAGGTGAAAATAAACGAAACCTGAAAGAAAAATAATGCAGTCACCTCCTTTAAGGACTTGTAAGTTGCAATATATTAAAGGTTTGTTTTATTGAGGTTAAATAAACTTTGATATGTAAAACTTTTCAAAATGATATAATTAGAAAGCATCCAGTTAACACAGTTATTATTACAGGTATTTATATAGCGTAGACAATTTACGCAGCGCTTTACATAGTTGCACATTCACATCAGTCCCTACCCTGAAGGAGCTTACAATCTAAGGTCCCCATCTCACATGCATAGAGGGCCAACTTAGAGAGGAGCCAATAATCTACCAGCATGTCTTTGGAGTGTGGGAGGAAACCGGAGTACCCGGAGAAAACACACGCAAGCACAGGGAGAACATGCAAACTCCTTGCAGATAGTGACCTGGCCGCGATTCGAACCAGGGACCCCCAGTGATTCAAGGCAGAGGCACTAACCACTATGCCACTGTGTTGCACTTTTCTTTTAAGTGGTACATTTTTAAAGTAGCCCAGTAGTTGAGTTGTTTCAAATATGGTCTTTTATTCAAGAAACCACCGACTTCTTTTCATCATACTGAATGACAACAAAGCTTACACATAGCAAACTAAAAGGTTTGCAAAGCAACATGGTACACAGATTTTTTTTTTCTAGTTCAAACCTCCTTTGCTTGGACAGCCTGAATAACTTATCTACTGCAAAACAGTTTTATAATAAAAATGTTCATGTATATTCAGGTAAATTCAAGCATACTTTCTACTCAATGCTGTGTTTTGTCAGTAGTCCTCCTTTAGGGACTGTTCACAGCAAAATCGGCAGGAAATTGCAAGTCAGCGGAAGGTTCGTTAACTCCTGTTACATTGTTCTTTTTTTCCCCCAATTTTTTTTTTTTTTTGCCAATCTTTAACATGTCCTGAGGGGACAAACATGTACTTTTACTTCCATTCCATTGCGATTGCAACTGTTTTTGTTCCGCTAAGTTGTGCTGAAAAAAAGTAGAGCATGCTCTACTTTTTTTTCATCGCACTGCAATGGAACAGATCACACCAGTCTGATCTGGTCCCATTCACACCCATTCCTTTATTGGTGCCCTTGCGTTAGCATCCATTGAAAAACACATCGCAACGCAATGGATCTGGTGTGAATGGGGCCTCAATAACAGAATCAAACATTTTAGCAAAGCCAAGGCAAGATTTTGCACATCGTAGTGTTTTTAACCCTGCTGACCCCAGGATGTCAGTGCTTGGCAGTTAAAACATCTTACAGCTCTGCCAACTGAGGGATTTTGCAATATTTGAACTGTCAGAGGCCTGATCGCTACATAACTCTCTTCCCAAGCCTTAGAAGTCTTCCTACTTCTGTGATGAAGCAGTATATTAAGGGGAGGAAATTTAGAACCTCATAAAAACAAACAGCATGAAGCTGCAGACACATGAGAACAGGTTTTTATTAAAAGTGACGCTTGGCATATTTACATCTGTGTGCCATAAATACTGTGCTTTTTTACAAGTTAAAAATATAAGTGTTGTGTTAACCAAACATTTGAAAAGAACAGCTAAGGCCCACTCTTCACATGTGACATCATTAGTTTACATGTTGCATCATTTACTCTCATCACAGGTACAAAATAGCCAATTAAAATATATTTTAACCCTAAACATAAAAATCTATATTTTGCAGCCAATGTGCGCTCTTACCTTGGTGGATAAATGTTTTTTTCTCTTTAGCCTCCTGCTATCCATTACAATTTACCTTATCTTCCATACAATCCAGATGTGCAGTTTCCTTCCTGTTCCAGTGTGACAAAGCACAACATTCTTCTGCTACATCTGTGGCCTCTAGTGACAGCGA